GCGTCATGACATGTGATCGACAGACAACATTAGCCAATCAGCAGCCAGCCAGCCAGCACTGTGTAATGGTGGAGCTATAAATTGCGGCCACATCTTTCAATTCTCCAATTTTGCCTCCGGTCATCTCAAGAGATACACAGACCTCTCTGTATTAGGGACAGATTTAGGGCCACAGAAACTTTAGGGACACAGAAATCGTTACTCAGGGGACACAGATCTGTTTACTCAGGGAACACAGAACTGTTACTCAGGGACACTGACACAGAATTGTTATTTTGTTACTGAGGGACACAGAATTGTTACTGAGGGACACAGAACTGTCGTTACTCAGTGGGACACAGAACTGTTACACAGGGACACAGAACTGTTACTGAGGGACAGACACAGAATATGTTACTGAGGGACAGACACAGAATTGTTACTCAGGTACACAGAATTGTTACTCAGGGACCAACAAAAGAAATTGTTGACTTCCAGGGTACACAGAATTGTTACTCAGGGACAGACACAGAATTGTTACTGATGGACACAGAAATTGTTACTGAGGGACACAGAATTGATTACTGAGGGACAGACACAGAATTGTTACTGAGGGACACAGAACTGTTACTCAGGGACACGAGAACTGTTACTCCAGGGACACAGAAATTGTTACTCTGGGACAGATAACACAGAACTGTTACTGAGGGACACAGAATTGTTACTGAGGGACACAGAATTTTACTGAGGGACAGACACAGAATTGTTTACTGAGGACACAGAATTGTTACTGAGAAGACAGACAGATTTGATTTGAGTTACTGAGGGACAAAGAATTGTTACTGAGGGACACAGAATTGTTACTCAGGGACACAGAACTGTTACTCAGGGACACAGAACTGTTACTCAGGGACACAGAATTGTTACTGAGGACACAGAATTGTTACTGAGGGACAGACACAGAATTGTTACTGAGGGACACAGAATTGTTACTGAGGGACACAGAATTGTTACTGAGGGACACAGAACTGTTACTCAGGGACACAGAACTGTTACTCAGGGACACAGAACTGTTACTCAGGGGACAGACAACACAGAATTGTTACTGAGGGACACAGAATTGTTACTGAGGGACACAGAATGGTTACTCAGGACAGACACAGAATTGTTACTGAGGGACACAGAACTGTTACTCAGGACACAGAAACTGTTACTGAGGGGACACAGAACTGTTAGGGACACAGAATTGTTTACTCAGGGACAGACACAGAATTGTTACTGAGGACACAGAACTGTTACTGAGGGACACAGAATTGTTACTCAGGGAGGGACACAGAATTGTTACTGAGGGACACAGAATTGTTTACTGAGGGACACAGAATTGTTACTCAGGGACAGACAACAGAAATTGTTACTGAGGGACACAGAATTGTTACTGAGGGACACAGAATTGTTACTGAGGGACAACCACAGAATTGTTTACTGAGGGACACAGAATTGTTACTGAAGGACACAGAATTGTTACTCAGGACACAGAAATGTTACTCAGGGACACAGAACTGTTACCAGGTGACAGACACAGAATTGTTACTGAGGGACCCACAGAATTGTTACTAGAGGGACACAGAATTGTTACTCAGGGACAGACACATGAATTGTTACTGAGGGACACAACAACTGTTACTCAAGGACACAGAACTGTTACTCAGGGACACAGAATTGTTACTCAGGGACACAGAATTGTTACTACAACAGACAACACAAAATTGTTACTGAGGGACACAGAATTGTTACTCAGGGACAGACACAAATTGTTACTGAGGGACACAGAATTTTACTGAGGTACACAGAATTGTTACTCAGCAGGGACACAGAAATTGTTACTGAGGGACACAGAAATTTTACTGCAGGGACACAGAATTGTTACTGAGGGACACAGAATTGTTACTGAGGGACACAGAATTGTTACTCAGGGACAACACAGAATTGTTACTGAGGGACACAGGAATTGTTACTGAGGGACAAAGAATTAGTTACTGAGGGACACAGAATTGTTACTCAGGGACACAGAATTGTTACTCAGGGACACAGAACTGTTACTCAGGGACACAGAACTGTTACTCAGGGACAGACACAGAATTGTTACTCAGGGACAGACACAGAATTGTTACTGAGGGACACAGAATTGTTACTGAGGGACAGTCACAGAATTGTTACTGAGGGACACACAGAATTGTTACTGAGGGACAGACACAGAATTGTTACTGAGGGACACAGAATTGTTACTGAGGGACACAGAATTGTTACTCAGGACACAGAATTGTTACTCAGGGACACAGAATTGTTACTGAGGGACACAGAATTGTTACTGAGGGACACAGAATTGTTACTCAGGGACACAGAACTGTTACTGTGAGGACACAGAATTGTTACTCAGGGACAGACACAGAATTGTTACTCAGGACAGACACAGAATTGTTACTGAGGACACAGAATTGTTACTGAGGGACACAGAATTGTTACTGAGGGACACAGAATTGTTACTGAGGACACAGAATCAGAATAGTTACTCAGGACAGACACAGAATTGTTACTGAGGGACACAGAATTGTTACTGAGGACACAGAATTGGTTACTCAGGGACACACAGAATTGGTTACTCATGGGGGACAGACACAGAATTGTTACTGAGGGACACAGAATTGTTACTCAGGGACAGACACAGAATTGTTTACTGGAGGGACACAGAATTGTTACTGAGGGACACAGAATTGGTTACTGAGAGGACAGACACAGAATTGTTACTGAGGACACAGAATTGTTACTGAGGGACACAGAATTGTTACTCAGGGACACAGAATTGTTTACTCAGGGACACAGAAATGTTACTCAGGGACACAGAATTGTTACTCAGGGACAGACACAGAATTGTTACTGAGGGACACAGAATTGTTACTCAGGGACAGACACCAGAATTGTTACTGAGGGACACAGAAACTGTTACTCAGGGACACAGAACTGTTACTCAGGGACACAGAAAACTGTTACTCAGGACACAGAATTTTGTACTGAGGGACAGACACAGAATTGTTTACTGAGGACAGACACAGAATTGTTACTGAGGGACACAGAAATTGTTACTGAGGGACACAGAATTGTTACTGAGGGACACAGAATTGTTACTGAGGGACACAGAATTGTTACTGAGGGACACAGAACTGGTTACTCATGGACACACAGAATTGTTACTGAGGGGACACAGAATTGTTACTCAGAGGGACACAGAATTGTTACTGAGGGACACAGAATTGTTACTCAGGGACAGACACAGAATTGTTACACTTGAGGGACACAGAAATGTTACTGAGGGACACAGAATTGTTACTCAGGGACACAGAATTGTTACTCAGGACAGACACAGAATTGTTACACAGGGACAGACACAGAATTGTTACTGAGGGACACAGAATTTACTGAGGGACACAGAACTGTTACTCAGGGACACAGAATCGTTGAATTAAAGAGTATATCAGACAACACGCAGAGAGTGTCAGAGGAGGCCATGTTTTAAGAGCGAGCAGGACGTGGCAGCAGAGGAAGGGGTCGAGGCAGCACTAAGTCGCAGCCAGAGGCCAGTGCTCCCGGTGTCATCCAGCGGTCGTGTCTCCCCCGACAACCCTGCCGTCATCGATTGGTTTTGGCTCGGTCGTCATCCTCTTCCCAGGTCACCTCTGACACCTACAGCCAAACGGTCGGTGGGTACTCAGACACAACCGTTAGTTGGCATGGCCCGGGAGCAAGCCACTGAAATCACGTGTTCCTCTACCTGCCCCTGTCCTTTGGTGTTTCCCTCACCAAGCGAAGTATTGTATCGCATGCTTGGGCTCAGCCCCACTGTACAGTGAGGAAGAGCTAACAGAGGGCGGTGGACAAGAACGGGGGGAGACATCCCGCCTCTTCAGCAGCCAGGATGCGAAGAACTACTGGCGAGGAGTGTGGCTCGGTAGCCGGTCTAGAGACAGGTTGTCTCCTGACCCACCCGCAGCCGACTGGGGACTAGTAGTGAGAACAGCGGAGACCCTAATTGATGATGATGAGGCAGAGATCTGAGCACTTGGCAGCCTCGTCGTCATCAGGCTATTGCTTCCGCATCATCAGAGAAGAGGGTGCCAGCTTGGCAGCGAGCAAAACAGTCGGTGGGTTGCCCATGAGGCAGCAGGGTCGCAGCAGTGTCAGAGGAGGCAAACGGCCATAGGAGTAGAGCACCAGCTCCACTGCAGCCTACCACCACGGCCAGTAGTGGTGCCGGTGTGCACGGAGGAAGTAGCAAGTCAGCCAGTGAGGAGTAGCGGGGCAAAGTTTCCTACTCGGCGGTGTGGCAATTTTTCGTCAAGAGCCGCCCGAGGAAGTAAACGTAGCCAATTTTGACTATGTGGCCAGAAAGTCAAGCGTGGCCAGGGGGCCCATGTCTCCATCGCCACACTCTGCCATGTGCCATCTTTCAGGTCTCCTCACACTGCTGGTGGGTTCCATTTTGTCATAGGGTGCTGGCAAATTACGGGCCTCCCATTGCTGCTGCCAGGCCCCTAATCTGCCATGGCCCCCCTATACCGCCTCCTCATGCTGCTGCCAGGTCCAGAGTCTCTCATGGGTCCCCTGTACGGCCTCCCATTGCTGCTGTCTCCATCGCCACACTCTGCCATGTGCCACTTTCAGGTCTCCTCACACTGCTGGTGTGGTTCCATTTTGTCATAGGGTGCTGGCAGATTACGGGCCTCCCATTGCTGCTGCCAGGCCCGTAATCTGCCATGGGCCCCCGTACCGCCTCCTCATGCAGCTGCCAGGTCCAGAGTGTCTCATGGGTCCCCTGTATGGCTTCCCATTGCTGCTGTCTCCATCGCCACACTCTGCCATGTGCCACTTCAGGTCTCCTCACACTGCTGGTGGGTTCCAATTTTGTCATAGGGTGCTGGCAGATTACGGGCCTCCCATTGCTGCTGCCAGACCCGTAAATCTGCCATGTGCCCCCGTACCGCCTCCTCATGCTGCTGCCAGGCCCGTAATCTGTCATGGGCCCCTGTACCGCCTCCTCAGGCTGCTGCCAGGTCCAGAGTCTCTCATGGGTCCCTGTACGGCCTTCCATTGCTGCTGCCAGGCCCCGTAATCTGCCATGGGCCCCCGTACCGACTCCTCATGCTGCTGCCAGGCCCGTAATCTGTCATGGGCCCCTGTACCGCCTCCTCATGCTGCTGCCAGGTCCAGAGTGTGTCATGGGTCCCTGTACGTCCTCCCATTGCTGCTGTCTCCATCGCCACACTCTGCCATGTGCCACTTTCAGGTCTCCTCACACTGCTGTGGGTTCCATTTTGTCATAGGGTGCTGGCAGATTACGGGCCTCCCATTGCTGCTGCCAGGCCCGTAATCTGCCATGGGCCCCCGTACCGACTCCTCATGCTGCTGCCAGGCCCGTAATCTGTCATGGGCCCCTGTACCGCCTCCTCATTGCTGCTGCCAGGTCCAGAGTGTGTCATGGGTCCCTGTACGGCCTCCCATTGCTGCTGTCTCCATCGCCACACTCTGAGCCATGTGCCACTTTCAGGTCCTCCTCACACTGCTGGTGGGTTCCATTTTGTCATAGGGGCTGGCAGATTACGGGCCTCCCATTGCTGCTGCCAGTGCCCCGTAATCTGCCAATGGGCCCCCCGTAGCCGACTCCTCATGCTGCTTGCCAGGCCCGTAAATCTGTCATGGGCCCCTGTACCGCCATCCTCATGCTGCTGCCAGGTCCAGAGTGTGTCATGGGTCCCTGTACGGCCTCCCATTGCTGCTGTCTCCATCGCCACACTCTGCCATGTCCACTTTCAGGTCTCCCTCACACTGCTGGTGGGTTCCATTTTGTCATAGGGTGCTGGCAGATTACGGGGCCTCCCATTGCTGACCACGCCAGGGCCGTAATTCTGCCCATGGGCCCCCGTACCCAACTCCTCGATTGCTGCTGCCAGGCCGTAATCTGTCATCGGCCCCTGTAAGGCTCCGTCATGCTGCTGCAGGCCGTTTATCTGTCATGGGCCCCTGTTAACCGCTTCCTCATGCTGCTGCTATCCAGGTCCAGAGTGTGTCATAGGGGTCCCTGTACCTCCCATTGCTGCTGTCCTCCATCGCCACACTCTGCATTTGCCACTTTCAGGTCTCCTCACACTGCTGGTGGTGGGTTCCATTTTTGTCATAGGGTGCTGGCAGATTACGGGCCTCCATTGCTGCTGCCAGGCCCGTAATCTGCCATGGGCCCCCGTACAGGCCCTCCATCATGCTGCTGCCAGGCCTGTAATCTTTCATGGGCCCCTGTACCCCGCCCGCCTCCTTCATGCTGCTGCAGGTCCAGAGTGTGTCATGGTCCCTGTAACGGCCTCCCATTGCTGCTGTCTCCATCGCCACACTCTGCCATTGTGCCACTTTCAGGTCTCCTCACACTGCTGGTGGTTCCATTTTGTGTCATAGGGTGCTGGCAGATTACGGGCCTCCCATTGCTGTGCCTGCCAGGTCCGTAATCTGCCCATTGGGCCCCCCCGTACCGACTACTCCTCATGCTGCTGCCAGGCCCGTTAATCTGTCATGGCCCGCTGTACCCGCCCCTTCCTCCCTCTGCTGCTTCCAGGTCCAGAGTGTGTCATGGGTCCCTGTACGGCCTCTCCATTGCTGCTGTCTCCATCGCCACACCTCTCGCCATGTGCCACTTTCAGGTCTCTTCACACTGCTGTGTATGGGTTCCATTTTGTCATAGGGTGCTGTATGAATGGCCTCCCATTGCTGCTGCCTTCCACCGCCACACACTGTGGCTCCACACTCTGGTTTTGTGGCCCCGTGAACTGCCCAAATGAGTGAAGTGTGGCGGTGATTCTAAGATCGACGGCACTCATCTGCATGTTTTTTTTCCATACTGACTGACAGTATTATTTTCTCTTCCCCAGCAGACTCCAAGGGCATTTTAAATTAAAGGTACAGTGTTTTCTGCACTAATATAAATGGCTCTCTGAAGCCTAGAAACACCCTTTTTTAAAGTTAATTTCGCGAGCGAATATATTCGCCTCGAATCGAATTTATTCCTCGAATTCGCCTAATCAGCCGAATCGAATTTTTGAATACTTCGCTCATCCTTCTAGTTATAACTTTTTCCGAAATGTTTAGATCTATTTTTGATCATGTAATAAAAAAAAATGTTAAAAAACCATGGTGGTGATCAAATACCATCAAAAGACCACTTTTGTGTGAAAAAAGTATAAATTTAATTTGAGTACAGTGTTGCATGACCACGCATGCGGCCATTGTCAGCTAAAAAGGGCAGGCAGTGTTGAATAGCAAAAAATGCTCTGGTCATGAAAGAGGTAAGACATTCCGGAGCTCAAGTGGTTAATTTCACTGTTGAACCACTTGCAAATGCTATATGTTTTATCATCACAAAAAATTACAAATTTGAAGGCCTCTTTTGTCTCTAGTTGTTGAGACTAAATGTTTGTAACCACTTTGTGTTTTACTCTCAGCAACCATGTAAGAAAACATATCTTTTTTTCTTCTCCTCTGATCCATAGTTTAGATCACTTTGTAGGTAGTCTCTCCTTTCTACTGTACCAATGAGTCTGTGTTACATTACAATGACACATTTTGGATGAAAAATAGTTCAATTAGCACTGTATCATGTATGATGTGCAATCATATATCCTGCATCCTGCTTATGTAGGTGAACTGTTTTATTCTGGTGTCCACATTGCTGTCTATCTGGCTCATTCCTTACTGTATGCCTCTACAGTACATGTATGTCTAATAATATTTAGCTATAATAGATTTTCTTGTTTATTGCTATTTCACATCTACTGAAATACTATCCAATTGCTAGCCCTTAGGTTTACTTATTTAAGTTTATAAATAGTACTGCATCCTTAATTGCCTTTAACATAGATCTAAACCTCAAAGATGTTGTCTTTTGTCTTAAAGGCCTCCTAAAAAACAGCAGATCTTTTCCTTTAAAATTTGAGTTTAAAGGACAGGTCCAGATCTCCAAGATTTCTGTTTAGAAAGTATTGAAGCCATTGGATTAGCATGGCACTTCAGAAGGAACGGTCAGAAATGGCAATCATCAGGTGGGTGAAAATGTGGACTTTTATTTTCTAAAGTCAAGCATAGCTCTGCCCATATAAGCCTCTCTGTTGGTCAGTAAGAGCACCCAGCACATTAACGAACCAACCTGCAAGACTCAGGTTATGGGGCCCAGCTCAAGCATAGGAGGAAAAGCCCAGATTTGCATTTCATTTCAAATGTTTTTTATCTCTAGCTTTATTGATGTTTAGTAACTTATATAATATATACCTTTGCTTTCACATGTGCAATATAATTACTTTTTTCATTTGTTTTAATAGTATGAAGTTTAATGGACAGCATTTATCTGTACTGTTTGCAAGATGTGTCACAGGTCCCATGCAAACCTTTTTTTGTAATTTGTATGATAACCATAACAACACTAGAAGAGTTACTGTAAAAGGAACAACAGAGAGATGAGGTAAAAAACATGTATTGCTGTCTTTCTGAGCAGCTCAATTTGAGATAATGTTCTCAAGTTGGTGGGTCAACCTAACCAATAAGAATGTTTTGGCTACTGTTAGATAGGTTGGGTACATTACCACTAGAAGTTTTCATTCTCCTTTTCTGAAATTGCCATGGTGTTTTCTCCACTTCAAATATACTAAAACAAATTCATGCCTGTATACAGTAGGACGAATCCACACATGATATCCTAGATTAGGTTAGTTCAGCTGTTACTTCTAGTAAGTCAAGCTATTGTTAGAGTGTTTCTGATGGAAAAGTCATTATTGTTGAACCACACCAACTTAGAAAGTGCTATTGATAAACATCCTATGGCAAAATAGGGTATGTGTACTATAGTTTGTAAGCCTCCAACTATATAAAATGTGCAATATATTTTTTTTAAATTAAAACAACAACAATACTTAAAAAATGGTATGTATGAAAATTTACAATAAGATATTCAAAGTGAATGAGCACGTAGGCATAAGTAGGAGGCCTTGGAACTTGTAGGGAGACTAAAAGTTACCATTTGCTTTATGTCTAACCACTGCTTCGATTCGGGATGTCTGCAACAATCTGTCACTAAATCGGTTGCTGACTATTAGAGTACAACATTGGGAAATCCAACTCCCCTGCATTTTAGCTAGACTTAAAGTAGCATATCTAACCCTCACAGGTTTACAGGTCTTGGAGAAAAGGGTGAGTTTGGTGGCACTGTTGTTCTTAGGGGGGACAACATATGCATCATTGGCACCTTTGTTTGTAGGCTTCTATGTACAAACAGTCATGCCAATGTATTCATTTGATGGCACATTCCGGTGTATTCACCAGTAAACCTGTGATGTTCTGCAATAACAAAGTATGGGAAAACTTTTCGAAATACTTATGTTAAGAAAATGGAAAACATATTATTTATTGCTCAAAATTATATGAAAGTGTTAAAATAAAAATGTATTTGTTCAAGTATAGAGCAAAAAACATGCCTCCCAATGCCAATGATATATTGCAAACCGTGCTGAACAGCCATCACAGCCATAAGCAGGAAAACATTAGTAACACTTAAAAATAAGTACAGCATTGGCACACTGAAAAAAGTGAAGTATGGGGTAGAAGTTTTCACTTTTTCTTTTTCTCTTGTGTGGTAAATGCATTACTCTAGAATGGCAGCAAATTGAATGGATGACATTTGTTCTCTCTAGTTTATTTAGAGCTTAACAGGGGCAGTAAAGTATAACCTCGTCCCTAAACTGGGATGTGTAGGTCATCTGCAAACACACCTGTCTTCCAATGACTTTCTTTGTGTTACTAATAGTGTCTTTTGCTCTGAATAAATCTAAAGGATGGCCTAGATGGCTTTTTTCTCTTTACTAGTAACATTTTAGCTGGACAGTGTGCCAACATTAAACAGATGTCCAGTGGAAGTCAAACATCTGCAGGAGAACATTTTTTTTCAATGTGACTGTATGTTCTGCTAACTAAAGGAGATGCATACAATAGAAGAGGTTGACCTTAACACTTTTGTGGCAGAAGCCACAAGATATGCAATCCTGTAAATCTATTCTTGGGCTCCTAGGAGACGTCATATAGCAAAACACTATAGACAAAGTTAAAGCAACACAGGAGAATCCAAAACATTTGGTGGGTTGCTGCTCTACAACCTGGTAAAACACTTCTTTTATTCCAC